TAGCTCAGGCCAGGCAAAGGAGAGAGGAGGAAAGGAGCAGCATCAGGAAAGGGTGAATGAGAAAGATCTTTTGTGTCTTCCTTTCAGCAGTAATTCTTTCCTTTCTCAAATGAATGGATAATTTCTGTGAATAAGTTTGCAATACTGGAGAGGCTACTTTGTGGGGTCTTGTTTTTATAACATGGATTATTTTTTTCTAAATGAAGAACATAGGAACATAAGAATCACCATTTACTGGGTCTGACCATAGGTCAGGGATGGGCAGTTATTTGGGCAGGAGGGCCACTAGAGTTTCAATAAGCTGTTGAGTGCTAGACCAGCCTCAGCCCTCCATCACAGCTGTTTACATTGCCCAGCATGATTGCGGGGGGCGGCTGGGCTAGGTAGATGCCAATTGAACCTATCTGGCCCTGAGTCTACCCGCCCTGCATCCACCTTTGGGGGTGCCAGATGGAGCGAGTAGGCAGGATCTCCATGAAGACCGACCAGGACCCCTGTGGACAGGGAGCTCTCAGTTGGGAGGATGGGATGGGGCCATGCCTGGGCCGGGACCAGCTGCCTGTAGAACTGGTGCCCATCACAGGGATGTGTAGGGAGCAGATCATGGCTTTGCTCCAGGCCCAAGCTCCACACTGCCACCATCCTGATCCCCATCCATCTGTTCCACTCTGGGATGCCACTCCCCACCTGCCCACAACACCATCCCATCCTCTTGGCTGAGTATGCCCTGCCCGTGGAGGTCCTAGGCTGGTCTCCATGGAGACCCTGCCTGCTTGCTCTGTCTAGCACCCCTGCAGTGGGAGTGGAGCAGATGGGCTGGGGTGCCTGGGCAGCAGGGCTAGGTCTGATGGTGGCACCAAAGCCACTGGCAGCAGCAGTCAGAAGTGTGAGGGCAGAGCAAACCACCACTGTAGGGCTGCTGGGAAGATGAGTCTGGCTGCCGTGGCCCTGCCTCGTGGATTACAGCTTCCAGCATGCCCAAGCTGTGGATTGGAATAGGGTAGGCTGTGCTCTGCTCCAGGC